CCCCAAAACCCCAAAACCCCAAAACCCCAAAACCCCTTTCCACACTAAAATGGTTGAAACAAATTATGAAAAGTATATTAAGCAAGGGCATTAAGGAGATTAGTAGAAAGTTTACAAAGAAGATGCAGCAGGAGTAAAACTGACTGTTATTTTCAAATTGATCGCTCTTCTCCTTTGTCCCTACTCTAAAGCTGTATTAGGACCAATCAGGTGTTTAAAACGTGCTGAAGTGACTCTACTTACCACCAACTTATTCATCAATGATTATAACCTTCTAGAGCAAAGATTAGTATTCAGAAAGAAAACTTCAAAGATCCTAGAGTAGATAGCTTACCTCATCATCCTTTGCGGGCTCAATGGAGAACAGGATATTTCTCTTGGAATCTTCTTTAAACTTCATTAGTTGTTCATCAGAGTATCTCTCAAAGATCTTGATTCTTTCTTGTGGGCAACCACATTGGAGCTCATGAGAAATACAGTAAATCTTCTTACATCTCATGCATTTCACATAAGAGAGATAGCACAAGTGGATGCAGTAGAAGCACTCAATGTTGTCTTTGCTCTCTACCTGCTCCTTGGGGAACTTTTTAATAGTAGTCTTGAACAGAGACTTCTTGTCGTTAAAGTGACTCCTAATCATGGCTCTTTCACATAGCTCCTTTGCAAGGATGTTATCCTACATAAATTAGACTCTTTGCAAGAATTAGTAGAAAAAGTTACTCATGAATCCCTATTTTATATAATCTGACTAATAGGAAGGGAGTTTAAAGGGGACTTACCACATAAAAATTCCAAAGATCCAGCTTAGCGTTGTATCTAAGAGGCTTCCCTTTCACTTGTAAGGTCATAACGTCATCAAATTTCACCTATAATTGGAAATTAGGAGGCTGCAATCAGCTCATTTCGAAACCAAACATTGGGAATAACCACCAGGATTGCTAAGGCTCTGGATCTAGTTAGTCTAAGAAGCTAACTTTCTAGAATGCTCTATTTTAGAATTTATTTTGAAATTTAGCCTAAGCTTAGTAGAAAAGTGATTTTTAGTGAGAATTTGATTGGAAGCAAAAGATCAATGCCTGCCTAAGGTTAAACTTGAGATTTCAACTTACATGTGGTCCATCATGTTCATCTCCATAAGCAATAGATCTGATATTCTCTACAACTATCCAATCAATAGAAAAGACTGGGACTTTTTCTCTTGTTTTTAGATAAACATTGACTGATTTTAAGCCATAATCTAGCCAACTCTTCATGACAATATTCACAGCTTCAGCAACATTGAACCCAGTGGACCATCCTGCATGGTAAGACTCTGGAAAAGTAAGAATGAATTGTCCAGGTCTCTGCTCTGTCTTGTAGACAGTGACTCCGTTAGAAGCTAAGTATGCTGGTGAAACCATAGCTGTGATGTTTAAGAGAATATTTGGGTCTTCATCAAAGAGAATGGCAAGTTTCTCTTTGGCTATTCTCTCAAACTTTGCTCTGTCTTGGGATGGAATAGCATACCACATCTTCCCTTCCCCTGTATGCATGTAGTTGATGGAATACATCATAACATCTTCGTAATGCCAACAAAATGAGGAGTAGAGCATGCCTGCGTATACCCATGGGAGATTTATGCCAGATATCTTCTCACCTCCACAGATCTGTAGCATGGAGTTCTTAAGTCTGTCCATATTTGTAAGGTTCCAAGGATGGCTACTATACGGATCACTTGGATCAGAAGGGAAGGCACTTCCAAATTCTTTAGCAGAGAGATCAGCAGCATATTGGACACAGATTCGTTCACCTTGGTTATCTTCCACGTACTTCCAATACTGTTTCTCCATTTCCTTAGTTCTCTCTTCATGACTGAGACCTTGGTATGGCTCATAGTGCTTTGTTTGGAATTCCTCAGCCATTACTTTGAAGTCACTGTAGCTTATCCCATCTTCATTTTGATCAAAAGACTATATTGAATGAATTCACATCAAATTGGAATGGTGTTAGAGTGAGCAATAAAAAGTGCAAAAATTTAAAACTAGCGATATTTGGGATGAGGTGCTATTATAAGCCCAAAATTTCGCCTTGGACCTATGCCAACCTCCTCTCACAGAAATCAGCCCAAAAATCCCGAAATCGCAGATAAACGAGGAATTCAGAAATTTAAAGTCAAAGGGAAGTGAATCGAAAATATTTCATAAAACCTGATATCTGAAAATTTTCGTTAAAATAAGTGAAAATTTGCAAAAATCTAAAAGAATTGATGTTATTCTCCCTTAGGCCTCATAAAACCAAGAATTTGTATCAAAAGTTGTGGTTTATAACACTAGCTAGGTATTTCTAAAAATTTCTTAGTTATTAAATAAAAATTAAAAATGAGACAATCCGAGGAAAGATGGCAGTTTATTAACCTATTACTTCTCCTACACAACTGGAAATCAAACTTTCCACCTACAATTAGTGATCTTTTAGGAAGACTCAGCTAATGGGATTGGTTAGGCTAAGAAAGATTTCACTACAATGATGCTTAGTTCTTTGTTATACACCCCAAATAACTCAAGTGGATATAATCAAAGTCTTACCCTTCCTTGGGATAAATCCTGCAAGGTTTGGAACCTAGTAGGCATTCTCTTATCCTGAGGTGGATTAAAACTAAACCCAGGCTTGAAGGAAGCTGGAGGGATGATCTTGATGCAACCCAACTTCCAGGCACCCTCATGGAAAAGGGTTTCTATGTACTTTATTGGGTCCTTAAACTCCTCTTCACTTGGATAGAATGTTTTCATCTCCTTAACTTTAGAATAGTCTTGGTTAGAGCATGCATTCTTCTCTCTCAACGAGTTCTTAATGGCTAAGCTAAGCATCTTCTCTTCTTCATAGCTTATTCCAAGTTCGTCATAGGAAGTCTTAACTTTCCTCTTTCGTCTTCTGGTTGTCTTTTTAAGCGGAGTTGATGGCTTGGTGTGTGTCTCCGTCTTCTCCTGCTCCATTTTCTTCTCAAGTTGCTTCTTCTCTCTCTTGTTCTATAAACCAGGATTTATCGGGAGGCAAACAAAAATGAGCGATCTCAATTCGAAAGCAAATGGTTCAGCAGCTCTAGCTACCTTCTTTGCAGTAATTTAGAACAAATTGGAGATGAACTTTCGAAAAAGATAGATTCCCTCAGTTCGAAACGGGCTAAATCCGGAAAATTTTTCCAACGTTCCAAAAGGAATCCAAGCGTCCCAGGAGCCATGACAGTGCCCTCGCAAACTGCCCGACGGATCTGAGAGCTCAAGGAGTCCAACAGCCCAAAATGGCTACTTTTAAGCTCCAGATAAGGAGGTTTGCTTACGATTGATGTATCTTTTACAAATGATATCGGTGCTGCCTCAGAAGGACTACTAGTCAAATTGGGTTCTCCAATCTTATCTTCAACACACAGAGCTTTTTCAATCTGCGCCTTGTCGATTGGAGCTACGCTTGCGAGATTATCACCGGTGGGGGCTTTATTATATGACATCCCTTACAAATTGGAACTTATATTTTTAATTAACTTTGTTACTAAATGGATCAAATACAATACACTACTCTCCCATGGGGTTTTGGGGTTTTGGGGTTTTGGGGTTTTGGGG